GCCACAAGCAATTAAAATGCCTGCTAAAATGAGTTCGTTTTACTAGAAATATTTATCTTCCAAACTTCTAAGTCACATCCATTAAACAGGAACTGCCCATGTCTAAATGAAGATCTTGCGATAGCCTCGGACAAGTAAATAAAACTCCAGCGACCTGGGTGTTAAGATTTCAGTCTGGCGGCGAAGCTGAGAAACATCAAGATCCTGAACCCTGAAGATCCAATTAGTTGAAACTTAATGAGCTGCAGAATGATAAGTGACAGGGAAATGTAACTTTATATTTACAATTTCCTGACTACATGAACTTTTAAACACAGCCCACTAAGCCCTACCCCAGGGCGATTTAACCTTTCAAAGCACAAGCATGTGGAGGTTAAGAACTGGCATTTGGAGATGGTACCCCTAAAACTGCGGTGGTCGTCCAGGCAACTAAGCAACAGGGCAGCCTCAAAGCCAAGGCCAGTGTTTTGCTTTGAATCCAAATGGTCCCTATGTATACAGCTGTGGGCCCTATTTATTCAAATAAAGGTTTCACACAGGAAATGCACCACACACACACACACACACACACACACACACACACACTCATAAGCATTCTCATGTCTTTGAACATATAGCCCATATATTTTTAGAAAGGCAAGAACTATAACCAGACAAAGAAAGGAGAGATAAAAACAAATTCAGAATCTTTAGCAAGAAGCTTTGCAAGAATAATGTAACTTTGATATCAGAAAGGACTAAGGACCAGGGGTCCTCTACAAAGAGCAGGGTTTTCAAAGCCAGTAGCTATTATGGAGCATGAGCTGCATTTCTTAGGTTTTAGAGATGCCCTACCCATCCCCTAAAGTATGTTAGCATTGTTAAAAATCAGGATACATCTTACAATCAGCAAGAGTGCCTTTAAAAAAATGCTGCTTGAAAGAGGAAGGAATACAATATACATAATATAATTAATGGTCTGATAATTCTGACATGACTGTCATATCTGACTCTGATTCTCACACATGTTCAGTCTCTTGCCTTTTAATATTCCTGGTAATTTTTCTGTTGAAAGATGAACATGATGCAATGAAGGGAACTAGGTAAATAAGCCTTCAATAATATGATGCGGGGGGAGGGGAGGCAGGAAGCAGCTATGGTCCTAGAATGAGGTCTTAGTCTTCTAGGACCCTATGCTCTAGACTGCGGACTTCACTACGGCTGTGAAATTGCTCCTTGCCCACGCTTAGGTGGGACAGCGTGGCTGGAAGGGACTGGGCTGGGGTATTTTCTTTTCCCCATGTGGATGGCTAGAGCTGACGTTGGGCATTTCCTTTCCCACAGGTAGTTAGGCTCTGATAAAATAGTTTCTTGAGGGCAGGGCTTGTTAAGAAGAACAGAATGCTCTGCTATATTTCAACATGGTTCCATTTTTCCTCCCCCTGCCCAAAGCAGAGTCTGTTGTGAGGACCTCGCAGAACTCCTAGAGATAAAACTCACAAAGGTGTGCTTCCCTCCCCAACCCCACTCAGGACTGGCCTCGCCTGGGGAAATGGTTTGCCCCGGGACCTTACTTCTCTCCCACACCTCAAATTTGTTCATTTTCCAGTTTGTTCAGCATTTTGCTCCTTATGTGTTGGACTAGAAACCGTAAGTCTGTCAAGTTTTTCTTATTTTTGTGTTTTCCAGGATTTCTTATGTAACGTTTGTATATAGCTGGTGCTTAAGGACTTTTGCTAAAATGTGTTAAACATCATTGGTAACAGTTTATATTTTCAAGCACTATCTAACCAGTTCTAAATGTTTTACATACATTATCTATTTAAATCTCACAAGAACTCACCTGTAAGTACTATTATTCTTCCCATTTCACAGATGGAGAAGCTGAGGCTAAGTACTTAAGTATACTCCCCCAAAGGACCACAGCCAGCATTCAAACTCAACATGTCTAACTTGAGAAGCCACGCTCCTACCTACCACGCCCTACGCCCAGCTGAATCCTAAACATCTTGACACTATTGTGAGCTGACTGAATCAAGAAGAATTCCAATAGCCCAACAGATTTTTTCTCATTCTACTTATTTTGGAAATTGCTTAAATGCTATCTCAATTTATCACCCAAACATCTGACATTATGAAACAGAGAATGAGTTTGAGTGCACATGCCCTATAGGTCATTACAAGAGAAGGATTTGTTTTCATGCAGTCTACCCAGAAACTGATGGACCACGGGAGTTCTATCAGTTCCCAGAAACTGAGGAGGGTCCCTCAGCCCATCAGAGATACTGCACTTTGGCTAAAAGGAATCTAGTCCTGGAAAAAGACTTCCAGGTGCCTCGGAATAGAAACAGGTGCACTGTTACCTGTGGCAAATTAGCACCGAGTCTTACATAAATATCGCTTTAAGGGTACTAACGTTTTAAGCCGACCTACATTGTCCTGATTCCACTGCAGATGCATTGAGTTCACCGCCAGCACAGACAAGCCAAAGATAACCGCTGCCTTGCGGGCTGTGCTGGCTGAGCTCCGAGTGAGTAGCCTGTTTCAGCGGCAGCCACTTTTTGGTGTGCGCTCAGAGTGGCTGAAGACTCTGTTCTCTTTCTTTCTTTTTTTTTTTTATCCTCACCCGAGGACATTTTTTTCCATTTTTTGCACAGATAGAGTGGGAGGGAGAGAGAGGAAGAGAGAGAGAGAGAGAGAGAAACATCGATGTGAAGGGACACATCGAGTGGCTGCCACCCGCACGACCAACCAGGGCCGGGGACAAACTGCAACCGACGTACATGCCCTTAGCGGGAACCAAACCCGGGTCTCTCCGGACCGCAGGCCGATGCTCTAACCGCTGAGCCAAACCGGCCAGGGCTCTGTTCTCTTTCTTTATGGACACCTGCTTTATCTGCATCACTAATCTCTTCTCTGTGTCTGGCAACCGAGTCAGAGTTTAAACGTTTAGAAAATACTCTGATTTTATTGGAATGCATATCAGTAAGTTTAGGATACATGGGGACAGGAACAGAGATATTTAAATATCTTTCATCAATGTGTTCTTTATCAATCCATTGTATACTCCAAGGTGATGAGCCAATGTCAGGTGTGCTGATGATACTTTCCTCACTTGGCTGAGAAAGGAATCATGTTCGAATTTAATTTAAACAGCGAGAACATGCATCTCCCAAGGGCCCACACACAAAAAATGTACACGGGAACTTCCTTATCTGCTCTCCACTCAAAAATACCACTTTGCATTTCTTAATGTTATATTATAGCCCACTAGTTACGTCTTGAAAACACAAATGCTAAGCTCTTTTTGGTTTAATAAATTTGAAGGTAATAAATATCTAATGATTCATTCATTCATTCATTCTCTTGCCGTCTGCTCTGGCGGGTGCTAGAACTGACAGCCCATGATGGCAGCACAACATGCCGAGTGTGACAAGAGCAGCGGAGACGACAGGGTGTCAGAGCTCTGAGGACAACCAGCAGAGCGGTATGAAGGTGCCCAGGGCAGGTTCCAGGCAGGCGAGCACGAAGGCCACTATATTTCCCCTACAGAACCAAACCCAAGAGTGGTTGAAACGCTGACCTCATCTAGTGAGACCCTTTCTTTCCTCGACAGTATTTCATCCAGTTCTGCAGATGTACAATAGGTTTGTGGACTCCGCAGGCCACTGACGTTAGATTATTTTCAAAAAGGGTGTGTGTCTAGGGACTCAACCTCTGTGCTAGAGGCAGGGCCAGAAAATGAGCCTTCTAGGTCTGGTATATTCCAAAACACAATCTAGTACCTGTGCATTTGACCAGAAACCCCTGGACAGTCCTGAAGGTTGTGTACTGAGCAATCCCAAGGGACACTATTCCTAACATAGACATTGTAGAAATGTGTATTTCTTGTGGCAGTCGAGAGTTTAGTTAAAAATAAACAGTATATTAGGACAATTTTTTATTTATTTTTTTGGTATGTGCCCCTAGTGGGAACCAAACCTGGGACTCTCTGGTTCGCAGGCCGACGCTCCAACTGCTGAGCCAAACCGGCCAGGGCTAGGACAATTTTTGACAGATAGGAATAAAGTATCTTGAAATGAGGTTCCTTGTTTTTCTTACTGATACAAAGGTATGTTGTCTACTGGCTGCTCTGTTCCTTGTTCATCCCAAACATTATTCTTCCTGCGGCCAGGAAGTAGAGGACGTGGACCACCTGACGGTGGTCTCTAGCATTTAAGCACACTTATCCTGCACAGTCGCCCCATAGAACATGCTGAGGACAGACGACAGCAGCCCTGGAGGATCACAGGAGATGAGAACAGAAGTGGGAAAAAAGATGAACAGGAGGACTTTTCTTTGTCACTCGCTCTTGGTGTCCACCTTCCTGGTGAGAGTTCTAGAGTCCACCGGTCCTTTGCCTGAAGTGTCAGGGCTTCCTTTCCGCAAATGCACTTTCTTTGGTACCTCCAGCGGCGAATCAGGCAGAACATCTCAACCAGATAACACCGTGCTAGTTTGCACATCTCCAGCAGGGACCCTTTCTCACTCATGGTTCCCAACGGACAGCCTCGCACAGTGTCTGGCTTAACGCAGACACTAAGAAAACTATGTTTGAGCAACATGGATGTATTCAACTGTTTGGCAAAATGATTTTTGAAATAAACCGTTGATTTCATTTACCCCTGATTTCACTGGGACTGATACTGTACGGCAAACAATCAGGAAACATCGGTTCACACACGCCTGTCTGTTCAGCTCCGCTATGACCTCTTTTCTCGAGAAATGGTAAGTGGCAGGTGCCAAAGAGAACTTCATTTTAGGAACTGTTGGGTAAGTGATTTAATTAGAAGAGAAAAAAAACAACTAAAACTTTTTGTATCAAGAAATCAAACAATGAAGGGGTTGTTTATATTTTTAAAACATCATAAAAGAAAAGAAAAAGGAAAAATGACAAGCGCTGAATGACCAATGCAGGAAAGTCACCCTGCTCTGGGTAGTCTGAACAGTTCCTAAAATAGTGACTGAAGTAATTCTCTTACCTTATAATTATTCATGATTTCAGTTAACCATGGCTTAACTGACTTCACTGTATCTTCTCGCAAGTACTTTGCAACTTTGGATCCGTCGTTAAAAGTCCGGTTTCCCACATGAATGGCTCGTCTTACTTCTGAGAGGGACAAAAATTTCTCATAGTAATTTTGGTCCTCAGGCTCCTGGCAGAAAGGGGCATCAGAAAGATGTTAGGGAACACGAACAGCCCAAATGTGGTCAAAGCTTCTCATAACACACACCACAATGAACAAGGTAAGACATGACTATTCACTTGTCTCCACCCTGAAAATTTTAACTTGGGGGGTTTTGAGTTCATTGAAATTTCACTAACAAGCCTGGACAATCTAACACTCTTGGAGCAAATACCCAATTTGTAAATGCTGGATTTTCCTGTTTGGAAATTAAGCCTTTGCAATCTGTGACTCCGATTAACAATCCCATTGGAGGCAAAGACAGGGAAAATGGAAGAGGTGAGATGATCAAAATCAATTTGCTCCTCGCCGGAGGATCTATGGAAAGAAGATCAAAAGAGCACAAGGGCCCAGGGTGATGTCATGGTGGGTTACAAGCTGAGGATGTCTTTTCCATAAAACCACACACACAAAATAATCAGCTGGCCATAATTTAAGGGGAAAATATAGAGCATAAAAACAGATGATATTTTATGAGGCACATAAGACAAAAGAAAAGTTATCCATGAGCCTTATTTTTAAGACAATATTGCATCCAAGTCTGTAATATTCATTATATGAAAATAAAAAGGATTAAATGCTGTTTTAAAAAGTTACAAAAGGATAAAAAAAATGCTGTCAGAGTTCAAGATGAAAAAGTTTTGCTAACTGTGAATTATTACTTTTAAAAAAATCAAATAAAAATTTTGTTTCTCTTGGTAAGCTCTCAATCTAAACCCACAAAGCTGGCAACTTCCACTGATATTCACTTTATACTTTATTTACAAAAATAGTTCACAAATAAGGCAATTTTACAAATAGGACGCATTGTCATATACGCTAGACAAAGACTACACAACCCAAACGCCCACTTTGGCTCACTTTATCTTATTTAATGAATTCTACACAAAAGACATCAGCTTTGGCCTACTTTTATGAAAGAAACTACTTGAATACTTCGAGAAATACTTCAGGGGGCTCAAAGTGAGGCCCGTGCAAAATGCAAGAAACATCTTAAGTTGTAAGTAAGACAAAGCAAATATTTTCATAAAGGCTTTGGCAGTTTGGGTTATCCAAGCTGTCCTAAGTACAGAACAAATAATGTGGGCATTTTCAAGAAACTCACTGCAGGCTTGGAACTCAGGGACCTGATGCCCAAAACTTCACTCCTGGCCTCTCTCTGTCCTTCACCAAAGAACTTCTGTATGACAAGCTCTTTCATGGTGATGGGGGAAGGGGCTTGTGTTACTCAGAGATTGTTTTGAGTTACCTGGAATATCACACATTCTCAATGGTCAAGTTATAATGTATACAACACTGATGGGGAAAAATCTCATAGATCAGTAAACTGAATAATACAATACAATTTGGGCCTATTTGTCTAGTATAAAGTCACTTATACTATTGCCCAAATCAAAGAAAGTTTGATTTTACCAAAAGTTTTAAGCAAACACTATGTTGGGTTTTAAAAAATATATCATTACCGTGCACTGTAAAATGTTATAGTAATTAGAACATCCTGTGACATTGTAGAAGTAAGAAGGGTCTTTTGTTAGGTCGCCATCTAGTAGTCTATCCATCACCTAAATCAGAAGAGAGAGGGAGAAAGAAAGAAGAAAAACATCAGGGTGAGTAAAACTATACAGGCGTTTGTCATTCTTTTATTCAATACCTTTTCACTTTGCCACTGTCTCATTCCACAACACTTACTGCACATCTCCTCTGAGCCAGACACTGTCCTAGACATTGGGGAAGAGTAGCCACCAAGACAGACCCGAAGTCCTGCCTCGGGTAGCTCATATTCCAGAAGGGGCAACGCACTAGCATTAATCAGCTAATGATTAATGCTTAGAGTCTGTAAGGAGAGAGCCGACAGGAGAAGGGAAGGGGCGTGTCATGTGTATGTGGTGCACTTGAGGACGCTGCAGAGAGGAAGACACACATGCCTCACTTAGAAGGTGGCGTTGCACTAAAGACCTGTTGGAAGGGAGAGCGCGGTCCATGCGGGACATTCCGGGCGGAGGCAACAGCAAGCCCAAAGACCTCGACTGCGGAGTGGGCCCTGTGGACGAGGGTTGCCATGACATGGCTCGCTGACCACTCAGACACGGTATGGGGAGAGAGGACAGAGGACATGGACATACATGCGTGTGTGTGGAGCTGGTGGAAGTTATCTTTGGACCTCCAACTTTACACACCCAGTGGTCAGCTAAGGGTGAGAGCAGTCAGCTGGGTTGAGTGCTTTTCCCCAGCCCTGTTCAGCTGCACGGGGCAGGCACAGACCGGTAGAGGTGCACTCGGAGCTGGACGAGGTGCCCAAGGCTGGGGATGTGTGTAGTGGCCGACCTTGCGTTTACGCGGGATAATCAGAGAAATGCAGACTTGAGAGGGTTGGGGATCCCGAAGAGGATGCAGGATCAATGATTTGAAAGGCAGTGTGGCTGCAGGAGGGCTGTTTGAGTTGGTGAGTTCACAGAAGTGAGCTGGGAGGACAGGAAGGGCCGGTTGGAAGATACTTGAATCTGAGATAGTGGAGTGATTGTTGGTTTTATGTTCATTTTGTTGTTTTTTGTTTTTGGTAATGGAATGAGCAATTGAGGTACAGAAGAGAATAAGATCATTGAAAGGGAGGAGATTAAGGGACTGAGGGACCAAGTACTGAACGGATCATCAGTGTGGATTCTGCAGGAACGAGGACACGAGTAATGCTTGAGAGATGACCGCGCGGGAGGGGCTAAAACCTGCAGAATGAGAAGGAGCAAGCCAGGGGACGTAGATAACCATCCGATGAAGTGGCGGTGGGTCCCGTGAGGACATGAGCATCAAAGCCCCCTGCGTCAGGACTGGGGACGTGGTCCGGAAGCTGCAGTGGGGAGCCAAGAGGGCACTTCCTTCCCTGCAGACCAAGGACAAAGTAGGGAAGGAGAGCACCGCCCTCACTGGAGAGGCTGCAGGGAGACAGCAGCATCAGGGAGAAGCAGGCTTGGGAGCAGAGCAAGCAGAGGGGGAGGGAAGTCAAAGAAGGACTGGGGACTTTTTTGAATGCAGACGCTGAGTCGTAAGGGGCTCTTGTAAAAGGATTTTGAGAAAGGAATTCAGGACCTTTTCAAAACCATCAATCAAGTATGTTTCTTACGAGGTAATATATTAGGATCCAAATTTAGAGGGGAGGAAACTGAGACAGACAAGTCACTCCAAGGACACCTCATTCCTAATGCCAAAGGTGGGAGTCAATCCGGGGCCCTGCACGCTCAACCACACACAGACCAGCTCCCAGCGGTCGGACTGCAGTGTCTCCAGTCTCGAATTCTTTCTGGCCGTGCTTTTGGGTTTAATATAAAATTTATTATTTTATTAGATTATTATTAATTTGTTTCTCAAACATGAAGCAACTTAAGTTTATCTAAGTTACTACTGCTAGGGGTTTAGGGACCAAGTAATAAAAGGATGATCACTGTGGAAAGTAGGGTGTGTGTGTGGGGTAATAAGTTTGCTTTAGCAACGCCATGGTAGCTCAGGGCCATTGGCACGACTTGGGGACACCTCGCTGAGGGGTGAGATGAGACAGAGAACCAGCCAAAGTTCTGCTTACCAAGCTGAATAACCTGGCTTAGCGCTGTGTTTGGAGAGACGACCACCTTGTATCTACCTTCTTCCATTTGCCTGCTGAACCCTGCACCCACGGGACGGTGCCAGCCCCGAGGACGTGTCTCTTTCTAACTTGCCCACCCAGAAGGGACACTACAGGCCAGCAGTGCTCCTGAATGCTTGCACCGTTTTTGGAATTAATCTTCAGAAATGATCCTCGACACCAATGGGAACATAAAGTCAACCTTTAAGAACGACTTTGATTTCGAAAAGAGTCAAAAATCGTTTGCTGCCAAATAAATAAGGTGGGTGGTCAAGACCCGTGAAATCCAGTTTCTACTCGGAACTTTTCTCACAAGGAGAACTCTGTGCATTGTCGTGGTAAGAAAGACAACGCAGGACCGGGGATGGGTCCGTGTGCATCTTGCGAAATCTTTTTAAGATGTTCCAGGATTTTTACAGAAAGCCTGAAAATTACCACAGGAGAAACCCTGGGGTGGGAACTGAGAAGCGAGGACAATTCTAGCCCAGGACCTCCCACAATCTGAGTGTGGCTTTTGGCAGTTGATTGCACCCCTCAGGGCCCAGCATCCTCATCAGCGAACGTGGGTGTGGGTGTGTGCGTCTGGGGAGATCTCGGAAGTTCCCTCCAGTCCGGGTTACTGCTCTTTGAGTAACAGAAGCAGTTTAAAGGGCCAGAGCACCAAACAGGCTTCGTTATTTAGGTCTGAGGTGTTGACAGCAGTTTTCTCTTGGGTTTCAGGATTTCTTGCAGTTTCTATTGCTGAGGTTGAAACACATTTGACCACTACTTGCTGACTTTCCTAAGGATCATTTTAGCTACTTCCCTTGAAAAAGCAAAGGTCTCTGAACTCTTCACTCAAGGTATTGGGTCAGAGGTCAGAGAGACACTGCATGCCTTCCAGGGTTTGGGGTTTTTCCTTTGTTTTCTGATGACTCTGGGTTGGGAGAGACTCTACTTCACCTCACGCGCCAGGTTCTCATTATGTTTGAACATAAAATACCCGAACTTTTCAACAAGTCCATGACTGCTGCTTCATGTACAGAAAACATCTTTCTGCTCTCTTTATCCCTTTGGTCCTATGAAATATTCTTGCTCTTGACATTGCTTAATCCCTATATGCTTCGTCCAAAACATATCAAATGTCTCACTTGCAGGTCGGTCTTGCATAATGTAAATTTTGCTGGGGATTCTAAATTCTCAAGGTTTGGTCCTTTTTACCCTGTCTGCCTAGCTCAGCAGAGAGCCTAGAACTGGCCTGGAAAAGACTGTCATTGTGAGTCAAAGAACGACCCTCACATCTCCATTAAGCTCCCTCTTCCTTCACATTCACAGTCCCACAATTGCCCAAGAAATTCGGAGGAATCCACACGCCGCTGCCCCAGCAGGTGCCCCGGCACAGAGAAGGGGAGGGGCTGGCAGCCTGCTCCGTTCTTCCTGAGCTCCACCCACTGCACAGCTGGCTGCCATCAGAACTCAGCACGGCAGGCACCGCCTTGGGGTATCAGGTAGTGCCCTGGCACCCACTTGCAAACTGGTGCTTAACTTGATGTTACTCCCCTCTCTCTGAGTTGGCATGTCTCCTCTTTTGATGTGAACCAGCTGCCCTGCAGTGCCTAGAAGACTATTACTACCAGGCCTCAGCCCTAATCCCAACAGAGCCCGAACAATGATAGGATGTGCTTCCAATAACAGAAAGATGCAAGTCCTCCAAATCCAATCCTTGCTTCATTTACTAAAGAATCAAACCTGTTGGCTCTGTCATAAAGGTGGCAACTCCCCCCCACCCAAAGAAAAACTGCTTATGCATCATCTTTGTCTGCATTGGGAAAAACAAAACAAAACAAACCCCAACTTCCTGTATCCTAATATTTCATCTAGTCTTACATTTTAAATAACAATGAAGAAAAGGGTGAAGATTATAACCACATTGTTTGATTCTTAATTTCAATTTTAGGGGAGCAACGTGCCAATATTTACACATCCCAGTGGCTCTTCTTAGAAGTTTCAAATTCCCACACTTTATAATCTTTGTTCCTGACACACGGGAGCATGTGGCCGTCGTCACACACGCCGGTCACTTCTCCAGCTGAGACCCCGTGTGTGGCTACGAGGCTTCTGAAGCCCCGAGCAGGTGCCGAAGAGCCTCCTGCCGCTTCCCGGGCCCCTCCTCCTGCCGTCCGCGGGCTGACCTGGGGCCTGCAGGGCCTTCCGATTAGCCAGAGCTAATGAAAGACGGTAGGTGAACTCCCGGAGGCCATCACAGGTGGAAGACACAGCCAAGGGCAATTCGGAGAAACCCAGGCAGTCTGTCCTTGGTTCGAGCCCACTGTCTCCCTCCCGCATGGGCAACGTCACAGATCTACCCTCTCTGACAAGGAACAGCCTGAGCACCGTGGTGGGGACCCTCCTCAGATGGTTCTCATTGCTCCGGGCAACGGGGCCCAGGACTCACTTCAAAGGCTTGAAACCACTTCTCCTCCTTGATGTATTTCACGCACTCATCACACAGCTTCTGGAAGTGCCTTCTCTGCTTCTCGTCCAGCAGGCCGATTTGGTACAGGAATGCTGCATAGCCCCCTATGATCTAGGAAAGAGACAACACCAGTGCCCCAGGGTGGGGGGAGTTAGGGAAGCCGTCGGCTTGGAGGAACAACCTTTGTAATTTGACAATCACACACACACACCACATACCACACAACACACACATACACACAACACAAACACGAACATACCCACACAATACACAAATACCTACCCCCCCCCATACACACACACCCCTGCACCTGTCCTCACAGTTCACCTGGGCAGACAGAGTAAGCTGACACCTTAAAACATCTGGTACAAGTGAGAGGATTGAAGTTATTAGACATCAACTGGGCAACAGAGTTCTTTTTATCAGGTTAGATCTCGAAGGCAAGAGGAGCCTCCATCTACTTAAAGGGAGTGTATCCCCCTTACGGGACAAGATGCAAAGGCAAAGGAGACACCTACTGATTCAGGATCGGAATAGGCATCCCCGATGGCGATCCCTTTCAGCTTGATCTTCACCGACAGGATGGGGTTGAGTGTGTGGATATAGTGTGCAAGTGCCGGCACGTATTTGCCTGCATAGGACTGAGAAGGGCAGATGTTAAAATGAACATTCACAAATGTACGCTAGTAAAATTATGTGCTTACACTCATCAGAATAACAATCAAGCCGCAGTATCTCCACAGGAGCCGTGACCAGTACTTGCCACCTCACACTGTAAATCCCACGACAGCACAGGGCTCTGCCTCTCACTCCTTTTGTCGCCCACATGGGACCAGGTGCCAGGCGAGTCACAGGCGAGGTGCACAGAAAAGAGTGAGTGCACATGGACTTGGTGAGCATTCCAGTTTCCTTCCAAAACAGTTTTTACAAAATGGACCAGTGAACACAATTCTGCCCCACAGGGCTTTTCTTACCAGAAAGTTCCATTAAAAGTTAAAAAAAAAAAAATCTCAAGGCCAAAATTAAGATTTCAAAATCTGCATAATGATGCAAATTTTGACATCAACATGTACTGAAGGAAGAGGAAAGGGAAAATACTATTTATTGGCCACTAAAATTGTCACTGAAATTACCTCTATTTCCAACCTTTTCTAGGACAAGTTTCTTTTTTCGGTTTTAAAATATTCTATGGACAGACATGGAAGTCGGGAACAGACTGACAAACCTCAGAGGGAGGAGGGGTGGGAAGAGATAAACCAAAGACTTATCTGCATATAAGCACAACCAATGGACACAGACATGAGGTTGGGGAAAGCAGGAGGGGGTGGGAGCTGGAAGAAAGGGATCAAGGGGAGGAAAAGGGGGGACATCTGTAATACTTTCAACAATAAAGATTTAAATAAATAAATACAAAAATGGATGGAAGCAGTTGATGATCGAACTACCAGTGATGGAAAAATATATATTCTATGGACACAAGCATAAAAATAACGCTGCTTTTAGATTATGCTGAAAAAGCTACTATGAGTTCAGTAATATCCAAAATCCACCTTGCAGTTTTTCCACGTAAAGGTTGCCTTCTTGACACCCCCACATGGATGTTTCATAGCAAACTTTGTATGTTCCAAGGGAGGCTCCAATCCCCAAGCCCTCCTTGCAGCCTCGCGTTCATTCGTGGGAACTCCGGCCGTCTAACTGCTGAGGCCAGAAAGCCGTCTTCATCTCTCTCATACCCCGAGAAAGTCCACCTGTCCAATGTGTCCATGGCCCACCGTCTCTCACAGCTCCATGTCATCCCTTGGCTCCAGGTAGACCACCTGGCCTGGACTGGGCGGAGCCTGGAACTGGCCCCTGCTCGCGCCCCTCCCCTTTCCAGTCTGCTGACCAGCCTGGGGTCCGGGAACACAAAGCAGATGCTGGCACTGCTCCGCTCCGGACCTCTGAGCTCTTCCGTCTCCCTCAGAGGAGAGCAAAGTGCTTTTCCTGTGACCCAAGAGCTGACCTGATCGGGTCACTTCAATAACTCTATCCCTACTGCCCTCTCGCTCCGTCTCCTCCAGCCCGCCTGGGACCACAGTCATGACTGATCCTCGCTGCTCCTCCCCACAGGGCCGTTGGGGTACCTGTCCCTGCCACCTGGAATGTCTTCCCCAGATATCATTCGGTCAACTCCCTCACTTTCTTAAGGGAGACTTTCTGGAGGATGTCGTCCCGGGCCACCCTATCTAAACTGTTCACACTCCTTTTATTTCGACGTTTTCTGCTCCCCTCCTCTCCTTTTCCATCTTAACCCTTATCATTCGCCAACTAATTTTTACTTATTTATCTTGAATGGTTATTCCCCCACCAGACTAGAAGATCGGTGAACACAGGGATACCGACCGGTCTGCTGCGTGTATTGGTGCAGCCCCCGGGGCCTGGCACTGTTTATTTGTTACTGCTCAGTAAACAACTGTTGGATGAACCTTGAGTTAACCTCATGCATTTGAAAACCAGCAATGCATATACGTTCAAAATAGACTCGAGGCACTATGTGGGTACATATGAGCCTGCAGACCCTTCACAACATTTCCAAGGCTCCCCAAGAGCTCGCTTGTATTTTAGACCCTAATCACAGGCTGGAGATATCATTGTTCCCATCGCCACATGTGGACACCGAGGCTCGGAGAGGTGAATTGTCAGAGTTCAACTTGGTCCGACCTACTCCAAAACCTAAACTCCTTCCAAGTTATGACAAAATATTTAATTTACATCATTTGTACAAAATCCCCTCACAGATGCAGCCCTCTTGCACAGTAGTATTATTTAGGCAAAGGACTGAATCAAAGCAATTTGGTCATGCGCACTCAGGAGCCCTTTTTGGCTTCCTTGTGATGATATAAAGATGTGTTTATGTATCTGAAATTTTGTTTGTTGCATAACTGTGCCATGTATTCTCTTTTTAGGCATAATAAGGGAATATTTATCATATACAATTTCTGTAAGATGACCCCAAAAGAGCAAATTTTCTTGAGTAATCATTTCACTGGTAAAGACGTATTATAGACTCTTCATTAGGTGATAGTTAATTGGGCAACTCTTCTGACAAAGGCATCCAGACTCAATTCTTGAGGAGACACAAAAATGGATAAGGCACAAAACTTGTAAAGTTCACAGTTTCTTTTGAAAATACATGATGAAAAGCTCGACTCAAAGGAGATAAGGCAAAGCTTACCATCTTATGGATAATTAAGCTCAGAATGTGAACAATGTCCCGCACATAAAAATGTATTTGATAAGTGAATGACTTATCTAACATTTCTTCTAAACATTTTTCTCTATTGGAAATTAGTACAAACGCTAAAAAAATATATCTTCTAGTGATACTATTCCTCTAGGTGTCTTGTTATAAAGTCTGGCAAACACCTTACTTGGCTCCTTCTGAGATGGAAGGGAATGCACTTTACATTGCTATGCAGGTAGTGATGACAAACTCAGGCTAAAACAGCCATATTTTCAGGGCACCTTCCCTCTTGTGACCATTGTGAGTATCTAGGATATACCCAGGAAGGAAATTAAGAAGAAACACCCATTCAATTTCTGAGCATATACTATGAACTAGGCTTTTCCACCTACTTTAATTGGCCAAATAAGGTTCACCTTATCTTCCTATATTTTAACACGACACAAACAAGGGCCTGTGCATTTCGGTCACGTGCCTGGCTGGAATTCTCTCCCTGCGTGGCTGCCTCCACACCTCCCATTGCTCATATCAAACCTTATTTCAGTCAATAGTCCTGGAATAGGTTACGGGTCTCTGGTGCCCCAAGCTGGGGCTCAAACTTGGGTTTACCCACGACATGCTCCGAGGCTGACCCTTTCTGGAAATCAACAGTGACATGGGAAGTCCTATAACCATGTCCAGAACAGATTCCTCCGTGTTCAGTCACATTGGCTAACCTAACAACGATGACGTTTCCCCGGTTTCTGCTTCCTAATGACTATCACACACGTCCTTGCCGGTGTCAGGGGGACAGATCCCTCCCTGCCGTTCCCATCGATCATTCCACTGGCTGCGTCGCTCAGGCTGCCACACCGCAGACGACCACAGGGTTATTTTAGAGAAGACAGACTGAAACGGTATAGTGAAATTTCAATTACGTTTGCTCTCCTGTTGACACATATTTCTTCTTTTTCCTTTTTTTTTCACAAGACAAGACTTATTATTTATTTCTCAATTGAACGATTCTCTGACCACCACAAGCATGTTAAAAGACGACCAGACAATAAATCATGTTTTATTGTGCCCAGTTTTTCCCTTTTCTGGATGTATATATATACATGTATATATGTTTTAAATAGAACGGAACCCCTTATTCGGGAGGAAGAATTTAGGTGTAGCTGTCTGATGGAACAGAAGTGGACTAAATAGGCCCCAAGGACCCGTGATCGGGATCCTGTAATTTTATGAATTCTTGCTTCTTTTGTTCTGAGTTCTGCCAGGAGCGAGGACAAAGGCAGCAACCGTCACAACCATCCGCCCTGCGGTTTCTCTGATCTCTGGCTGGCGTTCACCAATGTGGGCAGCAGCTGGTCAATGCAGCTCCTGAAGCCTGGGAATTCACACTAACCTTCCAGCATGGATTAGACCCGGGCCTCGTAAAAGCTCAGAACAGCATCAGAGCGGTTGTAAAAAGAAAGAAGCAGCACGTGGCCAGAAAGGATCTGCGCACATGTTATTTTAGAATTCAGCAGTGACCTTCCAACAGGAACTCGGCCACATACACATGTTTATCGAATACACTAATTCAGACTAGGTTGGCCATCAACACATTGGGATTTGAGTCTGCCCTTATTATTCCTTTCTAATATTTAAAGACACTTCAAGGTGCAATTCTTGCCTGGTTCATATTTTGAGCTCACCTCTGACAAGGACCAGAGATGCTGGGGTGTGTCTGCGTCTGCTTGTATTTGCTGGAACTTAAAGGAGCAATAAACCTCCAGTTCTCCCTGCTACATCAGAAGGATCTCAGAACTCAGCTCTGTCTTTTATTTCCCCCGTGAGAGAACAAGATCTCAACATCACAGTGGAACAGTGGTTTTGAATCTCGGTCTGCGATCTCTCTGCATTCTTAAATGATGTTTGGAACAGCCTGATGGAAATCACATTAAGAGCACATTGTACTTGTAAAAATAGTCTGGAGAGAATGTAATGCTTGGTTAATTATCCAGATGTGTAAAAGCACAATGAAATTGAACTTAAAAAAAAAACAAAAACGTGTAACTGTGTATTCCGCTTGAATCTCTCCCTTCTTACCTGTCTCAACAATATCCACAGCAGACCGACTGGACTCCTGCACCTGGTGACTTTTAAGGGAGGAAAAAACATTTCGTACCTAAAATCGAGCTTTAATCAGCTCCCCCAGAAGAAAAAAAATCGTGTCGGAGAATAATACTATAATGAAAACAATATCCTCTTACAGAAATTTCACATATGTTAGCGGTTACTGTTGTTTAAGCTTCTCTCGGGGGTCTACATTTCTTCCTCAAGTCTAGTTTTAAAAAAAAATGCAGTTATATGTTTTCGTACTCTGCCTTGCTTCTCAGGATGCATTTTTATGGTAAAGCGTGCAGAAACTTTATGGGTGATAATAAGCAATGG